GGGACCCACCCCAGCACCCCCATCCTCCCCCCGGTGTTCACAGCCCCGGGGGGACCCAACCCCAGCACCCCCATCCTCCCCCGGTGTTCACAGCCCCGGGGGGACCCACCCCAGCACCCCCATCCTCCCCACTGTGTTCACACCCCTGGGGGGACCCACCCCAGCACCCCCATCCTCCCCACTGTGTTCATACCCCTGGGGGGACCCACCCCAGCACCCCCATCCTCCCCACTGTGTTCACACCCCTGGGGGGACCCACCCCAGCACCCCCATCCTCCTCCCGAACCACTGTGCTCTTTCCCGTTCCGACCCCACCGTTTATTGTTCCGTGGCAGTTTCCCCTCGGCCGGGAGTTTATTTGGTGCTGATTTATTTTCCTCCTTTTGTGGAGAAACGCTGCTTGGCTGGGTTGTAGTCCCCGAGCTCTATTTTGAAGCGTCAGAGCTGGTAAAGGGAAGTGTCACCCTGTTTTGTGCCTGGAAGGAATTATAAATAGTGGGCAGCTTTGTTTGAATGTCCCTGTGCTGCCCAGTTTGCAGAGCCGGGGGTTTGGGAGTGTAATTCACGGAGCATTGCACTCCCTGCTAATTTTAGGCTCGTCCTGACTCAAGGAGAAGAAAAGTACAAATCCCCCTTAGTTTACCTGCAAGGGCGTTTTGTTATCTCACAACACCCCCGTCGTGTTTGCTCCGTCGAGGCAAAGGCTAGGACAGAGTTTACATTTGGGATAAATTCCTTTTTCTGGTCATTATAGGCTTACACTGCACTTATCATCCCACTTGAACACCTTCCAAGAGCAGCGTTGAGCAATCGAGGCCATCACGTGGCTTTGTTCTCTTTGGCCTGTCCCCAGGGAAGAGCGTGTGCACTGGAATGTCTTGTTTTGGTAGGGTTTGGTGGGGCTTTGTTGTTTTGTTGGGGGTTTTTTTTTTTTTTTTTTTTTTTTTTTTTTTTTTTTCGTTTTGTTTTAAAAGGGTGGATATTTCTGGAAACTTTGAATGTAAATGTTTCGGATGTCACGCTCCCGTTTCTTTCTGCTCCGTTTCTGGGGCCGTGTTTTAATGAGGTCTCCAGGGATGAGGGGAGTTGTGTGGTGATGCTTCAAAATGCACAAAGAAGTGGCAGCAGAGCTGGGAGAGTTCCCCCCCTCCCGTTTTCCCCAGAAATGCTGTCACAGGTGGTGGTTTATAAATCAAATCAGGTAAACGTGCCTTGGGAGGGGGTGCCTGTCTTGAGGAGAACTGGAAATCCATAAATCTCTGCCCAAACCAAACCAACTGGAGGAAAATAAATCATTTTTGTTGCCTAAATGACAACTTCCAAGGGTATCATCTTGCTGCTTTTAGAGCAGGATTCAGCGTCTTTGCTGGTGGTTGGATGGGTTTTTTTTCCCTCAAAAAAAATTTTCTGTGCCTCTGTTGTCAGTTGGATTGGGGAGGATTTGGGAGCACACCTGAAAGGCCAAGTGCACCTGTTTAATCATGGAATTGCCACAGTCATGGAGTTCAGACTGGGAAATCTGCATTTGCTTAGGGCTGCTGAGAGCCTGACATCCCAGCCCTGCTTAAAATGATAAAAATATGGGTAATTTTAATTGTTTCCCCATCTCATTCCCTAGACTCAGAGCAGAGATTTTGGAATACTGAGTAGTCTGACAAGATGATGCTTCCCAGATTCCCAGTCCTGAAGTGACATTAGAGCACTAAATGCTGATGAAACAAATTCCAGAGGCCTTTTCTTTGTGGTAACAGCTTAAAAACCCCAAAAGTGAACACGGGATTTCAGGAAAAGCAGACATTCCCTGTAAAATGATGTCCTTGCTCTCCCCTCCACTGGGTCCAGGAGGTTGTGCCAGCTG